TACTAAGTCAAACATCCAGATCCCTCTCCCAATTAACATTTTTGTTTGAAGACTAACTACTTAATTTGAAACTTCCTCTTGCTATGGCAATTACATTTTAAAACTTTTTCCTGTGAAGTTTAAGTGCACTATCTTATTTTACACATGAAGTACTATCAAAACCAACCCAGAGCAGAAAAAAAAAAAAAAATGTTTTTCTTGCCTCAGTACCAAGCACCTGGCAAGTAAATGGAAGGTTCCTGTAAAGCCTTAAAGGTTATTAAAAGCATTCCTCCTTTTCCCTGGGGACTTAAAACTCAGTTATTTTCATTCCTCCTTTTAAGCCTATGAAGTTACATCATCTTTTCCTGTTTGATTTATACTTTATAGTATTTTTTCTGCATTGTTCCTCAATTTGCTAATTCACTAATAAATAAAACTCCTGTTGGCTCCCATAATGAAATGAGAGGAAATGCCCAGTATTGCATGTTTCTTTATAAAACAGGATCATTCGTTATCTTAATTACTTATATTTTGTGTATAATTTTAATAATTTGCAATTTATTATTTGTTTCAGCTACATAGGTCTTTGACTTGTCAAATCTTAGAGAAAAAACTAACAAACTGCCTTGGAAGGATCTCTACCAAAGCACTGTGATAGAGTACAAAAGTAAGAGCTTTCAATTTGCTCAGTGTTTGTTAACTTTCCGACAAATAGAGCATAAGTCTACACCAGGAATCAATTCCCTTCCTGGGCACTTGGTGCTAAGTTCAAGCTAACTTTACACCAGCCTTCTTACTGGCCCTACATCTGGGCCCATTGCATTCAAAAAATTGCTGCAATTGTGTTAGCTTCCCCTTGTAAAACACTGTTGCTTGCTCCCATGAAACAGCTGCAAAAGAAAGACCCTCTGCTCTAACACTTAATGCCCTCTCCCTTTAGGCCTCTCCCCAAATTTAAAAAAAAATTGAAAAAATAAATCGTCATTCACTCCTATTATATATTCATACAAATTGACACACTAAGTATCAGAGAGTACAAACTGATACCCTCTGAGCCTTCTCTAGGCTGAACACTTCCAGTTCTCTCAGCCTCTCCTTGTACCAAAGATGCTCTAGCCCCTTTATCATCTTTGTGGTTCTGCACTGAACTGTCCATTAAACCTGTTTGCATCTTGTATTAAAGAACCCAGAATGGGACACAGCACTCCTGATGTGACCTCACCAATGCCAGGTGAGGAAGGAGGATCACCTCCCCTCAGCCTTTGGCAATGCTCTTTACATTGCAGCCATGGTACTGCTGGCCTTTGGCAATGCTCTTTACATTGCAGCCCATGGTACTGCTGGTCTTTTTTTGCCGCTAGGATTCATTGCTGGCTCATGGTCAGCTTGTCCACCCAGACCCAAAGATCCTTCTGAACAAAGCTGCTTTCTAGCTTAGCAATACCCACAGTTTACTGGTACAAGGGGTTGTAACTCCCAAGGCACAAAACTTTGCATCTCCCCTTCCTGAGCTTCATAAGATGTCTCTGCTCAATTCGTCTGCCTGTCAAGGTCCCTCAGCATGGCAGCAGTGACATATCAGCCACTCCTCACAGCTTTGTATGATCTATAAACTTGCTGAGGGCATACTCCATCTCATCATCAGGTCA